AGCCATTACAGCATGTATTCGATCCCCAGCCAGAAAGCTGACCCACATGAAACAACAGACCTCTCCTGCCTCTCTCACTGCTCTCCTCAGCTGTGTACTTCAGTAGCCTGGCTTGTTATGCCCCTCACTCTGTCTCTAGTGAATCCTCTCGCACATACCTTCACACACCTGTGGCCTATGAACATACTTCTTGTATGCATGAACAAATAAAATAAATATTAAAAAAAAAGATGAGGAAAGTCCTTAGGTTTGAGGCCTAATGCTTGGATTGGCAAGTCAAATGTCTTTTTAAAGCAAACTGCCTTGTTTGAAGTAAGCTTCAACTAACTAATTAGTATTTTGTAATTTCAGCAGTCTGTGAGGAGATTCTTTCCTCATGTTCCTATACTTACCAGGGTAATTTATCTTCCATTTGTTGTGAAGGGGGGGATTCCACTTGGCTTCCTTCTTCATCTGAAAGATTTCCATGCAGATTCTGTTTAAGCTGGATTTAAGGAGGAGATAGCTGTACCATCTCCCAATCCCAAGGTTTCTGGGACCTCTGTGTGGTGGCCTGCTCTGCCTGAGGCACAGCAGAGAAAATAAACCCAAGTTGACAATCAGATTGACCTAATTTTTTTTTTTTAAGATTTACTGGGGTACAGGTCAGAGACTCAGGGGTGGTGAGAGGATTCACACAAGACAGAGTGGGGAGCAAAACAACTGAATAACAAAGTACACTGCTGAGGGGAGCAGCGGGTAGGTCAGGTCTACTACGCCATGTGGCTCACCTCTGGGGTGGGGATCCAACTCATGCTGAAGTGGCTTTAGCTTCTTAGTGCTGTGCTTTAACCTGATGTGCCACCATGGAGGAAGATTAACCAGAGAGATTGACCTAATTTTAAACATAATATTACTCCTCTGGCAAGTCATCAAGGAGCATATCATCTATTACAATGTCCTTTTTGAGAATTAAAGTTATAAAATACCTGACACAGAGCTCAACATTCAGGGCTCTAAAAAATAATAATTCCCTGCTTCCAACCAAGAAGATTAATTTCCCTTTTTATCTGGCTGATCTCTGAGTCCCCAAAAGTTCATATGCTATCCGTCACCAGTGGCCTGTTTCCTTCCATCTGTTGGGTTGGTTTGAAATGGGGGCTGAAGTGGCTAGTAGTCAATCATATTTCCACAGGTGTTTTTCTTGGTTGTCTCAGAATTCTGAAGAAAATCTCCTATCATCAGTAACTATAGCAGTGGCAGCACCTCATTTCTAATGTAAAATGATTTCTAGTCTAATGACTTCAGCAGTCAGACTTGAATTCAGTGGTGAAATCTGATTTTACATTAAAATTCTAGGTGTCACAAAAACACTGATTCAAAAATACACCTGCATCCCCATGTTTATTGCTGCTTTATTTACAATAGGAAAGACATGCCCAAATGCCCAAAAGTAGGTGACTGGATTAAAAAGATGTGGTACATATGCACAATGGAATATTACTTAGCGATAAAAAAGATAAACTCATGCCTTTTGTAGCAACATGGATGGAGCTGGAAGGGATCATGCTTAGTGAAATAAGCCAGAAAGAAAAAGAAAAATACCAGATGGTTTCACTCATAGCAGGACCATAAAGGACCAGGGGTGGGGAAAATAATAATGCACAACTATACACTAGATACAGTTTACGGGCCTAGAGGAGGAATGGGATAAAAAATGGGGGTGGATAAAAAATGGGGGTGGGGCCCTCCCTGGTGGCGCAGTGGGTTAAAGCACTAAAAAGCTAAAGCCACTTCAGCATGAGTTCAATCCCCGCCTGCCCCGGAGGTGACCACATGGTGCGGCAGACCTCTCCTGACCCGCCCGCTGCTCCCCTTGGCAGTGTACTTCGTCCATCTGCCTGTTCTGCTCTCTGCTCTGTCTCTGGTGAATCCTCTCACCCTCTGCATTTCTGGCTTGTACCCCAGTTCTGTATGAATAAATAAATAAATCTTTAAAAAAAAAAATGGGGGTGGGGGAGCACAGGGCTATGGTGATGGCACACAGGTGAATTGGTGATGGGAAGCCCACAGGATTACAACTGAAATGGAAAAAGGCACAAAATGATGTAAAAATAAACTACTATAATATTAAAAAAGTTCCAGGTGTCAACAGACAACTGATAATCTTTTCTACAGCCCATATTCTTATTTAAATACAGTTAGTGACACTGAAGATAACCCAAAAGGAATGCTTTTCTTTGCAGGGGTTAAGTGGTACAATCTATAGAAGAAAAAAGCTAATATTAAATAATATTTAATTTCTCCCTAGTATTTAAGGAAGCAGACTAACATCAGTATGTCCATCAGTATATGCAGGTACCAACAGGCCTAAAAACATTAAAGAGTAAATATGAGTATTCTGCTTCTGGGGAGTAGTTTTGCCTATGAAATGAAATTTATCCAAAATGTGAAATTTTTAATTTGAAGTAACAATATTTAATGTCTTTATTAATAAAGGCTCTCTGCAATTTTTAAAAACTTTTGTATTAGTTTATTTTTACATATTTTTGTGCATTTTTCCATCTCAGTTGCAATCCCCTTGGGTTTCCCATCATCAAATCACCCATGTGCCATCACCATAGTCCAGTGCATTTCCCTCCCCCCAGGCTCTCTGTAAATTTTAAGATGTGAAACATCTCAAACTTTTCAAGAATCTCATTTTAAAGCTAGTCACTCTCATGAATTCAAAGCATGGTTATGCCATAACCATAAGTCAATTGTTACAGTTGCCAGAAAACAGTCAAAACTGGTAGAAGCAAATGGTACCACAAACTTAGCTAAAATTATCCACAGAGAGATTAACAAGTGGAACTGCTCGCTGTGCTGCAATGTCCAGCATGGAACTGTGTGGAGATGGCTCTAGGGGAAAAGTTTTACATTACCAAGTTCGGTTCCCTCGTTTTACAGGGTTGAAACATTTCATTGAAGGGACCTATACTCTGACTGGAAGCAAAACTGAAATTGTTGAACTCTACCCACTAGGGAAGCCATTAGTTAATTACTACCTAGGACACATATCATAAATAAGCACAGGAACAGAGTCCATGAGGAAAGTAATCAAGAGAAAGTAGGAAGAACACGCAGGTACTGGGTCATGACAGGCTGAAAGGCTTCCATTTCCTTCTCACTTTAAAGTAATTGTGGTAGGATTCCTTCCATAATTAAAAAAGAGGGAACATTTAAACCAATCATGCATTGCTATGTGAATTGCTTTATGCTTTAGTTATAACCTTTGGAAGCAAATGCAAAAGTGATCTACACGCCATTAGAAAGCTTCAAGTTTGGGAGAATTGAGGCTACCAGAGGGTAGAGCAGAGGAAAGGGACATGGTGGACTGTGGTGGAGGACTCTGGTGCCTTTGTGGTAGATGTGATGTGGTAACATACACCTGAAGGGTGTAGTCCTATAACTCTAAATTCTATGTAATGTTGTAACCAATATTACCTCAATTTAAAAAAAAAAGCATAAAGGCTGAAACAAACAGGTAAGTAAATTAGACATTATTAATGAATGACATATACAGGTACACATATACATATATATATATGTGCTCATCTTTTTGTCACTTTGGTATATTCTTATACTACATACGAGTAGTAGGATTATATTGACATAGGAAATCTGAGGGGTTTTTCCTCAATTGACTATATATATTGATTATATGTGATATATAAAATGTATATGTTAGCATAAACATGTTTGTATAGTGGTTGCAGGTATTATATTATGTATAAGATCAAATATAAATATAAAATTATACATAAATAGGCATCTTTTAAGGCATCTTTTATATACTAAATTAACATCTATATAAATACAAATAATATTATATAGTGTAGTAGCATGTATTATATACATAGATAATACACCCCAAATAAAAAACTGTTTGAGTGGATTATATATTCAGTAATACATAAAAAGATTCACATACTGTGACCAAGTGTGGTTTGTGCTAAGGATATGAAGCTGGCTTAATATTCAGAAGCAATCAATGCAATACCACATACTAACAGGTTAGGGAAGAAAAGTCTTATGTTCATATAGCTCAGTGCAGATTTGTTTGATAACATCCAATGTCCACTGAAAAATACTTCCAGAAAAATAAAAATGGAGAATTTCCTCAATGTGATAATGTACACAAATGTACAAGTAATATTATCTTTAGCGGATAAGGAAGAAAACAGGACATACAGACATCATATTTAAGACTCCATAAGTCTCCTGTGACCCACAACTTTAAGAACCACTGTGCGAGGGTTAAAACTATTCTGTTGATTAGGGTCAAAGACAGCCAATCTCTGGAAGCTGACCTTAAACCTGTGGCATTCAGAGGAGGAGGGGCCAAAACAGGGTGAGGAGAGAGAGTACAATGGGCCATGGTGGACGAGAGGCGCCTTGGTGATAGATGAGCTATGACAACTACACTTGAGGGAGTAGACCCTATTCTTCCAAAATGCTAACAACCATGTAAACCAACAGTACTTCAAAAAAACCTTTTTAATTTTCTTGTTGAAAGTAGTTATGTGGACCCTCCCTGGTGGCAACGGTTAGGATGCAGCACTGCAAGCTAGCCATGGCCCCTTCAGTGCAAGTTTGATCCCTGCTCAGTAGGTGACCCACACGGTGCAGCAGACCTCTCTTGTCTTACCCGCTGCTCCCCTCAGCAGTGTACTTCGTAGATCTGCCTGTTCTTTCTGCCTCTGGTGAATCCTCTCACTGCCCCTGCACCTCTGGTCTGTACCCCAGTTCTGTATGCATAAATAAATAAATCTTTAAAAAAATAAAAAGGATAAGTAATTTGGAAAACTATATCTAGCTGTTACTCTCCTTCCTAAGGACAATATTGTGCTTCCAGAGGCATATGAATTGTTTCTCCTCCAAAAAAGCAAAATAAACATTTAATCAACTAGACTTTCCCAAAATAATGATTTATAGGCTAGCCATTAATTTACAGAGGTGATGCATTTATTACAGAATGAGGTGGTTGTAATAAATTTTGGATGAAGTCTATGACAATGAATCCTTTTGCATTTTATTTGCTGGCCTTATTGTTGAGTTAATCTTCAAAATGCCTGCACCTAAAAGGGGAAAGAACAATTGATGAGTTAATTTCTAAATTTAAAAGCAGTCATTTAAATGAATCACAATGAAATGGCCTAATTTTTAAATGAAATGCTATCAACAGTCTCCTGGCATTCCTCCAGCCGGCAGGCAGCCCAGTCCTGGGCTGGGGAAGAAGCACTGGTCTGTGGGACTCAAGTTAATTCAGATGCAAAAATATTTGCGTGAGCACGCACTTCAGCCTCAGAAAGAAGGTCATTCAGATTTCAGTTGTAAACTAGATCTGAAGGTCCTCTTGTCAGTGAATGAACTGTAGAAATGCATAGACTAAGGAAAATATAAATGGATTCCTTGCTCTTAGGAATGTGTTTAAATAACCGAGGAGCAAACCAGTTCTGTTGTGTGTCATTCTGGGTATGTGTTTTCTTGTGCAAGCACACGTGCTTCACCTAATTGTCCCACTATGTTCTGATAGCTTGATCATTCTCCCCTTGATCGTTCCCCCCTATATGGACTTGATGTCCATATACTCTCTCTCTTGTTTTACCATTTTCTTTCATTTCTACCAGTTTTTGCTTGTTAAGCCCGTCTTTACAATGATGCTCGCATTTTCCAAATCTCCAGAGGCAATCCCATCCACCCAGCTAGTGACCACCCACTAGCCATTTCCTCCTTAATCACCCCTCCAACTGCCAGATTCCATTCTGCAAGTCCACCCCAGGTGGCCCAGGGGGCCACTTTTGCAAGTACAGTCTCCTTTGAGTTGGCTGACTGGGTTATTAGCTAATCTGTCCCTTTTATGTTGAATCATAAAATATCTGGAGATAACTGTTTAAAAATAAAACAACCTGGGGCCCTCCCCAGTGGTACAGCAGGTTAAAGCGCAACACTGAGAGGCTAGGGCCACTTCTGCATGAGTTCGATCCCCCACCCCAGAGGTGACCCACATGGCGAGACAGACCTCTCCTGACCCTTCGGCTGCTCCCCTCAGCAGTGTACTTCATAGATCAGCCTGTTCTGCTCCCCACTCTGTCTCTGGTGAATCCTTTCACCACCCTTGCACCTCTGGCCTGTACCCCAGTTCTGGATGTATAAATAATCTTTTTAAAAATTTAAAATTTTTTAAAATGTAAAACAACCTGTATATATTTTAAGCACTTTTCTGTGTGTAGTAATTATTCCATTGCCTGAAACATCTCAATGCTGAGGAGATGTGGCAGCAGAGTATGAGAACAAGACTATCTGCTTCCTGTTTGTTGCCATATTGCCCAGCTTTTGAATGGCTTCATACCAATCTGTCCACTTTAAAAAATAAAAACTATGCCTTGAGGCATAGTATGTCTTGAAAAATCTTTTTCTTAACAAAACGTATTGTTGCTTTAGCTAAATAAAGTGTTTTTAGTATTACCGATATTCTAAAGGGGCATGCTTTTTCTTTAGACTTGCTATTGATTTTCATACTTTATTTTGAAGGAAAGCCTCACTTTAGGATTTTATGGCATTTTCTTCATAAGGAGAGTGTGAACCTGCATGTGAAAACTGTATTTTGGTGTATGTGGTGAAAGCTCAGGTGTACTGCTCAGTCCTGCCTTTCACAATGAAGGTTCTCATGCAGTCATGTCTCAGAGGATGGCACCCTGCATAATTTTCTGCTCCCTCTCATGAGGCCTCCCAGTCCAGGGCCTTTTGATGTGGGGAGGACAAAGACCTGATCCTCTTGCCTCAGTTCCAGGCAGGTCTAAGGGGCCACTACTACTGGAGCTCTCTTGGGGGATGCCTCGGGCCACAGCTCAACAACACCTCAGTCCAAACTCACCCTTTGCCAGTTCCAGCTCCTTTTACTCTGTTGTTCCTAACAGCATTCCCCAATAAATGTTATGCATAAAAATAAACCTCAAAGTCAGCTTTGGGAACTAACCTGAGATAGGGTCATTTCGAGAGTCTATTGCCATTTTAGAGATCTACTGAGGCAAGATTTTAGACCTTCTCCTTGAAAATCCTGCCTTAGGTTTAGTTATTGCACATAAAATCAGAATTAGTTGGAATCTTCTTTAATATCAATCTTTCTGTACTCTCTCCAACAAACCTGAGTTCAAGGCTACCCTCAAAAGACCTGTAGAACATAAACACTTTCAGGTCCCATCACCTCTTTCCCACAAGACTGGGACATGCAAGCAAAATCAGTTTTGCTTTTAGGGGACTACAAACATCACCCCAGAAAATGCGTAGCCACACACAATTTTGTACACAACTCCTGAAGGATAGATAATTCTACACCCCCACCAGAGTGGGGGTGGGGCAGAATGGACAGAGGATGAGCTTGGACTGTGCTGTGGGGGAGCTCCATAATCCCCAATTTAAGAAGCATTGATCGTGAAAGTAACAGGGACTCATCCTCTCAAATCAGTTTTTGTCAGTACAAGAAATGAAGAAGGTAAAGACAAAGTATATCCAAAAGTGACCTATTTCTTCATGTGATTTCATAATAGGTTTTGACTGACCAAAAATTAGTCTCAACTTACGTTTTCCATAGTCAAATCTGCTGAAGGTGAACTTTTCTTACTATATTTCTTCTTGACACAATAGACACTGACAAGAGTGATTATCAGCATCACAGCAAACACAGTGACAGTGGAGGAGACGGCAATGACAACAGTGTCCTTCGTGGATCCTTTCTTCTCACACTTCTCTCCCATGTACCACCAATCCGGCCCTGATGCACACCTAGGCACACGGAACGTGACTGGGAGTTAGGAATTGGTATTTAGACCTGTAGAGCTTCACCACGAAAGTGTGGGTCAACATTCAGGTTTTTGACATAGGGAATGATTTCACTCACTCTGGACTGTAGGGTCCAGGAGGAGGTGTGGACAATGGAGAGAAATGATGGGATGTTTCCTAAGGGAGCTCCAAGGTGGGAAGGAAAAGTAGGATAGGCCATGGAAAAAATCTCATTCTATGTCCCAGTCCCTCCACCTCCCAGCCCCTCCACCTCCCAGCCACACACGTTGGCTCCCTCATCTCAGATATTAAGTATCTTCATTCATAAAATGGGGCCAGCACACTGAACAGAACAGACTGTTATGAGGATGTCATCAGAGTGATGGAGGATAAGAATAGAAAAGTTGGAAAGGAGGCACAAGACCAGAAACCCAGCTCACACACTGCCAGGTGTTGGAGGTGGGGAAAGAAGGGGTTAACATAACAATTAGCCCAGCTGTAGGAACTTAACCATTAACCCAGCTAAAGGAACTAAAAGTCCTTAGGCGCCAATATGTAGACCCCAAGGCACAAGATCTGAGCAGGAGCAAGACTGATGTAGAGGATGTCTCCAGACACCAGAAGTAAAAAGAGGGAGATTGAGCTCATTATAAGATCTCTGGTCCCTTTCAAATTCAACAACAAGCAAGCCACTCCACAAAGAAATAAGCCCCTCCCAAAGAGAAGCCTATACAAGGGCAGTCTCTGCACTGGGAGAAGCAGCCTTGCTTCTGCCCCCTGTGTGTATGCAGGAGCTCCCCACCCTAACTCTTCCCCTCTGCCGAATAGCCTGCTGCTTCCCGACCTGGCACCTTGTTGGGCTTTCTCTTCACTGCCCTCCCTCAGCAGAGGCTGCTCTTTCTTCCCAAGGCCTCCTGCCTATGACCATACAGACCTCTCTGTTAGCAAACTCTCTTTTGGGGCAGCTTTTCCTGCCCCCTTGTGTCTATGCAGGTGTCCTATTTCCTTCTCTTCCTTTGCATAATAAACATCTTTTGGATACAACTAACATCTCTGTCCATGTTGAAATTCACCTGGGGAACTCGCCATGTGCTGCTGAAAGGGGATCTCTGGTGAAACATTTTCCAGAGTGAACCCAACCCACTCTCCAAACCCAATACCAAAAACATTCAGTGAGGACTGTGTCAGACAATTAGATGATGATGTGCTATTTTTGTAATGAGAAGCATCTGATACTTATTCACAGGCAATCAATATTTAATCCTACATTGTGGGAATGATGCTATTTCTAACAGAATGGGGGATCTTATCCAAACCACCTCTTACCTGCACACAGCTTTATTATCTTTGACGGTGCAGATACCGTCATTCTCACATGTGACGTTTTCACAAAGGTTCCGGTTGACACCACCAGAGGTTGGGTTTGGGTGTGGTGGGTTTGTAGAATTAAGGTGGCCTATATCTATGGAGTTAGAGGGGAGCAGAGACAGGGTAAAATCAGTTTGGGCTTTAATAAGCATTTGATCTTTACATGTTAAAAATAGATACTCAGGTGTGTGAGAAATGTGGGCCACCTGGAAGCATAATAACCTTCCTAAGTAGAGAAGTAATAAAGAGGCAAGTTGAAATCTTAGATGCAAAGGAAAGTGAGACCAGCAGCTTGTAGGTTACAATTTACCTGAGCATGTCTGAGCTCGAAGGGGCCTAAGCCCTTGTCACCAGCCCCCAGGAAACTGAAGTACAGACATGGAAGACAGCTGAGGGCTTCCCAGGGTCACAGACCTCTTTCTTGTTGGAGGACATTGGTACATAATTTGGCATATGACCCAAGGTCCCCTGCAACCTCATTCTGTTCTTTGTAGTGTTTTCTGTTTCCTCTTATCCAAACAGGATCAAACACAATGGATGAATATGTGACTTTTTCCTCTCTAAATAAAATGCTTTCTCCCTGACAAAAGTTATCTCTGAATAAGTTTTTCCAAGAAGTATCATCTAGACTCACCCTGATTGACACTGAACTCAACATCTCATGGGTTTTTTGTTTTTTTTTTTAAAGATTTATTTATTTATTCATATAGAACTGGGGTACAGGGCAGAGATGCGGAGGGTGAGAGGATTCACCAGAGACAGAGTGGGGAGCAGAACAGGCAGATCGACGAAGTACACTGCTGAGGGGAGCAGGGGGCGGGTCAGGAGAGGTCTGCCACGCCATGTGGTCTCCTCCTGGGCAGGCGGGAATCGAACTCATGCGGAAGTGGCTTTAGCTTCTCAGTGCTGCGCTTTAACCCGCTGCGCCACCAGGGAGGGCCTCTCATGGGTTTTAATTGCACCAACTTTCATCACAAACAAGATTCTGATTTATTGAAATGTAAGTTGGTCTTTAATGGTAAATGAATTAAACACACCTGCAGAGGTGTTAACCTACTTCCTTAAACCTATTTCACCTATTTAATCTATTTCCCTAAACCTATTTCACTGTATGTGAACCTATTTCACATACAGTGTTGTAAACAAATGTTACCTCAATTTAAAAATGGTAAAATTAGTCAATATCTTAAAATCCTCCCAATGTAAAACATGGAAGCCACCAGCAATGCTGCCATGGCTAAAAAAATCATCAGAGTTTTAAGAGCAAATAAATCAGTATTATTACTGCCAAAACATGTTTGTCCACATTGATGTGTATATGTGTGTATATCTGAGACAATAGAGAAATTCCATTTTCAGTTTAATATGGGTTTGTGTGATGTTTTGTTTCTGGTATCTTAAGGTATAATCCCTATACTTGAACGATTTCTAAAGTTCTCTAGCCTTAAGTCTTCCATGAGTGCTCCAAGTAGGAGTGATTAAATTCTTTATCTTGGCCCTCCCTGGTGGCACAGCGGGTTAAAGCACAGCACTGAGAATCTAAAGCCGCTTCCGCATGAGTTCGATTCCCGCCTGCCCCGGAGGTGACCACATGGCACGGCAGACCTCTCCTGACCCGCCCACTGCTCCCCTGAGCAGTGTACTTCGTCGATCTGCCTGTTCTGTTCCCCACTCTGTCTCTGGTGAAGCCTCTCACCGCCCCTGAGCCTCTGGCCTGTACCCCAGTTCTGTATGCACAAATAAATAAATCTTTAAAAAAAAAAAATTCTTTATCTTAGAACATTCATTGTTTCCATTTAAATTATTTTCATATAGTTAATGATCGATACTAAAAAAAAAATCCACTCATGCCCATTTCCTTCCACACTCTAATATATCTAAAACTGGAAGCCAGAGAAGAGAGTAAATAATTCATGTTCACAAAAGAAGATCTTATATAAAATTACTTTCATTGGCGTACCTTCCACTGTCAGTAGAATATAAACGTCATCCCCTTTTATAAAATCTCTGCTTTTCAGCCTCATCTGGGTTATAAAGGAACCGGTTCCCAAGCCCGGGCCTCTTTTAAACTTCGTTCCATTAGGAAAAAAAGCGTCCTTTCCCACTTTGGAAGGCTTGTCCCAAAAATAGTTTCCATCACCTGAAAAAGCCATTTATATTAATGGATTGTGTTTAGCATCATCATAGCCTTTGGTGGTAAGAAAGAACAGGCAGCGTGAAACAATTAGGATGGAGGAGAAGATAATGATGTGATGTTATGGACTGGCAAGTCATTGAAGCTCGTTCACTTACACTGTCCTTACAGAAATGAGAGAGCCAGGCAGTGAGGACCATGTTGTGGAATATGAGTGAACAGGCACCAAAAGTTTCCTAGGTAAGGTTATCATACCCCTAACTAACAGTACAGAAACTCCCCTGCCATTAGAACCAGTCCTTCGTGGCCTGCTGAGTCCTTTAAACCAAGTTATATAAAAATATTGCTGAAAGAGCTTTTAATATGAACGTAGAATAATTTTATCTCATTAATTGAGTTTTCCACCTAACATAGTACTTTTGGGAATGAAACATGGTGAAAAACACAGTGTAAGGGAAAAGGTGAATACCTCCTAGCCTTGAGCCATTTTCAGGGTCATTAAGGGAAATATTCTGAATAAAAGTGAAAAATTCTGAATTTCAAGTCTCTAAAAATCCTTCTAAATGTTATTTTTTTCTTATCAGTTTAGGTTTTTATCCTATCACTGAAGCCCATTCTCTTCTTTCTTTTTTCTTTTCATATTAAAATCAAATTGGATAATCATAATCACCTTGTCATATTTCCATTTTTCCCCTTTCTCACTTCTCAGAGGGCAGAAGATAATTAAAATTAGAAATGTTATCATTGCTTTCTGGTTGCTGTTCCCCTTTGAGACTGCATGATGACAAATGATGTCACCCTTGGCAAGTCCTCCCAAACTTAGTAAGAATTATAATCCATTCTCATGCCTTCCTCATCCCCCAGAGCATCTTCTCAGCATCTTCCTTCTCGTCAAAAGCCATTCCCCATTACAAGAACGGAATTGTTTTTGACGACTTCAGAGACAAGGTCAAGACAATAAGGGTTAGAACTAAACGTCTGAGGGCCATTCAATATCAGGCCCTTCTATAAGCTCTGTAGTAATTCTCATCACAAATCTGTGGGGTTATTATTGCCCCAGTTTCACTACTGAGGATACCAGGACCCCAAGAGATATTTTCTCAAGGTCTCATAGGTCATGAGAAGCAAATCACAAATTTGAACCCAGCCATTTCAAATTCTAAACCAACATCCCTCGTCTGACACTGAGACTTCAATTATGGTCATTAATTTCCAAAAATACAGTAAATGTGCTAATTTGCTGGACTACTCCATGACATTCCTGACAGTCTCCTGCCTGGAAGACTGTCCACAATGGCTAAAGCCCTTCGTCTAAATATTTTCTGTTCCCAAGATTTGGGGTTCAAAATTACCTAAGTACTTGACTGTGCAGTTTCTCATTCCCAAATCAGTCATCCCTCCTGGAGCAATGATCATGTATTAGCTAATAAAGAAAATGAGTCACGAACCGGTGGTCCTAAATGGATCTGTAGTTATACTCCGCTGGTTGGACATACGCCGTCGAATGTCAGGATTTTGATCCAAGAGTGTCATCGTGGCTTGTAGCCAAGGACATGGCCACTGTAATTGTTCATCATTGGCTCCAGAGATCAAGTGGAAATATATTGCTACATCAGTTGGATGGTTTAGTTTCAAGGAAATCTGAAAGGCATAACCTTTAGAAGAATAATATGGAGGGCTATATAGATCTCCATTTGGGCTGCCAATGAGCTGTGTGAAATTCCTTATATGCCAGATATGATGAGGGCACCGTGTCTCTGAAAGATTGATGTCATCAATTGACAGGCCACCCAATGATGTACCAGCGCCTTTGACTCCTTCAAATACCACTCTAAATTTCTTGGTCACTTTCAAAGTTATGTAGTAAAGTTGCCAACTCCCAACAGGTATATCTACAAAAAAGACATTATTATTTCAAAGATTCAAAGGAACCATGAATCACAAACAAACATGAGTTCTAACCTTCATGGTCAGTGATTGTCTTTGACCTACTGACTCCTACATTTGGTACTCTCACTCCTCCAGCCCAGGCCCATTCATTTCAAGGTATTTCTGTGGCATCAGACTGTTCATTGGAATATTTGAATGCTTATCTAGTCGTTTTTCAGATAATTCCCTTTCCCCAGAAACAAATGAGCAAACTATAACATCTAATTCATGAGAACAGTTGAGTTATTTTCCATTCTATGCTAGTTAAATGGTCAACGCTAGGGACCTCCCTGGTGATACAAGGGGTTTAGTCTCAACATTATGAAGCTATCAGCAGCCACTACAGCATATGACTTCAATCCCAGGCAGGGAGCTAACCTCCCACGGCACAGCAGATCCCTCCTGCCTCACCCATTGCTCCCCTCAGCAGTGTATTTCAGTCAAATCTGCCTATTCTGCTCCCCATTATGTCTCTGGTGAATCCTCACATCCCCTGCTCTTCTGACCTACACCCCACCTCTTGTAGGCATAAATAAACAAATCTTTTTAAAAAATATTCTATATTTATATTCAAGATTCCTGTCATATTCAGCATAAGCTTTCTTTAATATATTTATAATTTGATAGGAATACTTTCTTCAAATGTAAAATTTCAATCAATTATTTGGCAATATAAAGGTAAGTATTTATCATGTCCTAGAAAGCCCATGTCCTATAATTTACTGCTTAGGTTAAATACTGATACTTTATACCAACTCTTTTCTCCTCAATGTCTTAAAATTTAAATATATTGGCACTTAGTATGAAATACAATTGCTTAAAAATAAGTTAGAAATATCCAAACTAAAAAAATTCTATTATCAATATTATCAGTTTAAATTCTGAACTCCTAAGCAAGTCTATTAAATGTCTTCTGTGCTTTATTCATCAGTGATATCCAGATTGCTAATGCAAAGACAAAAAGTATATATACATAATATATATGTTATATATGAACTATATGCTCTATATAATTACACACATACATATAGCAAACACACATACATACATAAAACAAATATTTTTTGCTCTTATTTATCAATAATATCAACAGATTGTTAATGCAAATAAAATATGTATGCATACACACATAGATGTTTATTATATATAATTACAAATTCAATATTTAAATCGTTTATTGTATACTGACATATATAATGTGCATGATATGTTTATAACACACACACATACATAAAACAAATATCACTGCAGGTGTCATAAAGGAAATTATCTGTGTGTCTGACTATTGGGGAGAAATGGCAGGACATAAAGCATAATACTGACCAATTTTATATCGGGTTTTACTCAACGTATGTGGAGCAGACAGTAATCTATTTGCCAGCCCTCTACTTCTCCCTTCCTCAGGGGACACTCAGCCCTCTGCTCCAGGAGGAGGCCAACATGACCCTGCACACTGACACAGGGCTGGAAGGAAGGGTAGATGCCAGCTCAGTGTCGCTCCAGCCCCACTCAGAACAAGTTTCAGAAGTCACACTTGGCCCACGTCACAGCAATCAGAGTCCTTCATTGGTTTTTTGTTTTTTTTTTTTTTAACCAGAAATTACAGGAAGAGTCCCTTTTCCAGGCTGATGGCATGTGTGGTAAAATGTAAGCTAGAAATACCAACGTACCCGCTTTATGGACAAAGACCATCTGAGATAATGAGAGGTCTACCACCACGTTCAGGCTCCCTAAGCTCCTTACCTCCTTTGTCTATTTTACAGTTTGGTTACATTTAGCCAGTCGCTTTTACCATCTTGCCTTAGCTAGTCCCTATTACCTTTTATTATTTATCAAGAACTGTTCTCCACAGAAACAAAGATTAATCTACAGTTTCTTACAGGAATGCCACATAATGTAGCACCTCAGTTTAGCTTCCTCACCATGGCATAAAACAAAGAGGAGCAAGTTCTAAGTAGAAAGGTATTGAGTCCATTGCACCTACTCTGTTATACGTTGTTTTAAGAGTTAACACTGCCTCATTCTAAACACAAAGAGTAAGCTGGCGACATTGTACCTTTGATTGTTTCCACGAGGGTCAAAATGCCATTCACATTGCTTGCAGAATACTCCCTGATGTAGATCTTCATTTGGTCACTTGCACTTCCACTGTTATATAAATAAAATTCCAAGCACTGAAATCCCCTTTTAGGGTACAGCGTTCTGCTTTCCAAGATTGCTATTTGCCCCACATTTACAGATTTATAGTCAAAATACATGAAGAAGCCAGAATCTATTAAAGGGACAAAAGCAGAAATAAGAGAAAACAAATACTAGTTGTAGGAATGGTATTTGCCGAGCACAGGTACTCCCTGTGTAGACAGGACACTGCATCAGCCATTTAGGAGTAGGCACTTTGTGGAAAAGACAGCAGGTCATCTCTTTCTTACTAAAGATGCTAGTTTTCAAAAACTGAAAAGTAGCACCTAATATTCTAGTCTCTCTTTCTTTCCCGCCTCCCCTCCTCCCCTCTTCCCCTCCTCCCTTCTTCCCCTCCTCTCCTCCTTCCCTCCTCTCCTCTTCCCCTCCTCCTCCTTCCCTCCTCCTCCTTCCCTCCTCTCCTCTTCCCCTCCTCCTCCTTCCCTCCTCCTCCTTCCCTCCTTCCCTTCTCTCCTCCTCCCCCCCTTCTCTCCTCTCCTCCTCTCCTCTCCTCCTCCCCTCCTCCTCCTTCCCTCCTCTCCTCCTCTCCTGCCTCCTCCCCTCCTCCCCTCCTCTCCTCTTCCTGGTCTGTGTAAAACCACTATCCACTGTCCAAATCTGCACAAAATATTTTATCAACTATATTTGACAAATAACATTATTTAAACGTAAGGTATACAACATGCTTATTTTACAACATTAATATATTGCAACATGATTGCCACTGTAATGATAATTAGCCTGCCTATCACATTACATAATTATCATTTCTTTTTAGCCTTGGAATAATACCTGTTCTCTTAGCAAGTTTGATAACTATATTACAATATTGTTGTCTATATTCAACTATACTGTGTATTAGCTCTCCAGAGCTCCTACTCTTTGCAAGTTAGTACCCTTAAACATCATCTCTCTCATCCAGACCCCATCTCCAAAGAAAAAAAACCAGAAAGAAAAGCACCTTTTTGCTATTTGGGACCTCATCCCCCCCTATACCATATACCTAGCATCCAGGAGTCCCAAATTCTGATATCTAGTTTTACATATTACCTGCTAGAAATGAACAAATAAATTAAAATTTAGTAATTGTAGTCAAATAAAAACCTATGTACTTCAAACCAAACTTTCTCATCTAAATGAGAAAATTCTACCCTAATTTAAAGCATTTTTGTTACAGAAGAATGTAATGTTGAATACAACCAGTTGAAATTCTGAATGAATTCAACGAGTCTCTTGTGACCAGCAAACTTCAAAGAACAACTCCACTACTCCAGAGATAAGGGTTCTGTCAGGAGGCACAGTACTCTCCTGAGGTGGGTGTCACATTCCAGGTCTCAGTGACAAAAAACCATGCAAAAAGTCAAAAAGCAAATGAACAAACAATGCCCTTCTCAGGCACAAAAACTGACTCCTTAATAGCAACTTTAGGGGTGATTATGAATAATTCTGATAGAATTTAGCAGTAAATTCCTGGTCTTTTGTAACAAAGGAAACAGCTGGAACCAACAATTATAAGATCTAGAGCTGTTTTGGTCATGTTACCTTTGCACTGGCCCATAGAGGAGTGGTCAGTATTGGGACCCACAGGAGCCTCATGAACCCTCTGCCAGTCAGCACTATCAGCTGAACTTTGAATCATACCACACACATTTTCCAGTTCAAAATCACATGAGTCCATAAAGCTCAAGGAGGATGCTACAAAAGGAAAAAAAAAAAAAGTCTTGACATTAGTAATAGACACATGATAATCTAAGTAATAAAAAATAAGTTTATCTCAGAAGTACTAGGAAGTCTTAGAATACATTGGAAGGAATGCCTAGCTGATTGTGGAGAAAGCTTGATTAAAGACCTCTTGCTATCAGAACTAAGGGATAATCAACTCTGAAGATATGAATAATCAGCCTGTTCCAATTCCTTTTTTAATTTTCTAAGTTGGAGAAATCTGAATCTGTACTCCTCTAGTTATTCAGATTATGCAGCCACAACCCAGATTATTTGATCTCATTTATATCATGACTCTATAGTCCATTTTGGTTGAAGAGTTTCAAATATAAGTTGGTCCATGTGTGGGTTAGTAACAGCTGAAAACCACATAGGATCTGATTAATTTTCGTCTCTGAAAACCAGAACTTGAGAGAAAGAAAATGCTGCTTCTGAGTTGTAGAAAGAGCTTCAGGGGCTATTCTGCTTTTTCCCTAAACTACAAAGTTCTATAATTTCAGAAGAGTTGGCAGACTGCTCAGAAAAATGGAACAGAGCATAGTTTTCCTGCATAGGGGAGAGGCATAAAGTTATTTCAAAGAGCTTGTCCCATACAGCAGTTATACAGTCGATTCAACTTCACGAGATCAGTTTCACTGAAATCCATCCGTTGGCCAATCACATCCATGAAGTCTTCAATTCTTGTTACAATTGTAGGTTCTGTTCCATTTCTGAATGCAGTTTTACTGTAGTGCATTACTGAAGTGTAGTCATAGGGCGTATTCAGGGTGTCTGACTTTTGGTCATCATAGACATTAAAATTGTTCTCTTTGCCTAAATAAGAAATTAAAAAATCTTTTATTACTTGATGTTTACAAAATGTAGCTTATCTTACTTAAAGTATTGTTAACTTGGAAATGGAGACTGTAAGAAACATAGTGTAACCTTTGCTACAACTAATCGACAGTATTTCAAGTGTTCCATATTTTCCCTACCTAAGATATTTTCCCTACCTTAAGATATAATATTCAAGTTTAGAATTACAATTACAATATCAACAGTCATGCAGAACATATCTAAGGCCAAAGATAGGCATTAGCGTTTGGACTAAGGTTCTAAGAATTGCTGGTGGAAGTGGGGGATACCTCAGGAAAACATTGTTGAAACCCACAGGGTGACTGGCAGTCAGCGATGGGGACCTTAGTGGCAGGTAGAGAAGCAGTCAAGGTACTTTGGGAAGTGTGGTGGGATAGTCCCTGGGAATGAATGGTAAGGTAGACCAGGGTCATTAGAAAGCTTAGTCTGGGGTTTCAAGGTGACTGACATATGTGCAAATATATCTTAAGTCATTACACCTAGAAAAGTTAACTGGACAATTAGTGCCATGCTAATGGGTAACTGATTACAACTTGAAACTGGATCATTTTGAGGACACAGTAATACAGATGTGACCTCTAAAACACAGATGTGTTATCAAATCTATTCAGAAATTGCTGCTAAAAAGAAAAGACTGGGAATCTTGACAGGTGAGGTCATAGATTAAAGTTAAACACTTCTCTTGCTTAAATAATCTTTTAGTCTGCTGCTTTGCTTTTCAATCCAGTTGAGATCCTCAGGCTTGGTGCGGAAAAGGTAGAAGTAAGAGTTGTGATGTTAAGGTTGTGATATCAGGGACTACAGTATAAGCAGTCCTTTTACAGTGCTTCCTGTGACAGCAATGCCCCTCCACTGTACCCTCCAGGACAGGCTAGGTGGGAAGGTAAGTATCACTGGAAAATGAGCTCCAGTCTTATATGCCTACTATACCATTCTAATAAAAAATAAAGTCATAAAAAGTGTGAGCTGGCCCTCCCTGGTGGCACAGCGGGTTAAAGCACAGCACTGAGAAGCTAAAGCCACTTCCGCATGAGTTCGATTCCCGCCTGCCCCCGAGGTGATCACATGGCGCGTCAGACCTCTCCTGACCCACCCGCTGCTCCCCTCAGCAGTGTACTTTATGGACCTGCCTGTTCTGCTCCCCACTCTGTCTCTGGTGAAGCCTCTCACCGCCCCTGAGCCTCTGGCCTGTACCCCAGTTCTGTATACACAAATAAATAAATCTTAAAAAAAAAAAAAAAAAAAGTGTGAGCTGTTTGACTCCTCCAATGAGTCAGAACAGAAACCCAAATACTGCAAGAAAAAGAAAAGTAGCATGATCAAATTGTTTTAGGAAATGCACTTCTTTTTGGAGATTTACAATTCACGTTGGTCTAACAAAGACTCGAACAATATAGTGGTGTCATCAACTAGCTGACTAACTTCTCTAGGATTTCCCAAACTGATTTAACAAGGATCCTTTTCCATGGAACCCATATGTTGGGACTGCACCCCATAAAAGATGCTTTGAAAAACCACCAGACTTATTTCTAAGATCATATCCAGCTCAAAAATATGAGGGTTCTAGAACCCCAGCCACCTTGCCAATATTTCAACTCATACCATATAGAACTAACTGACATGAAGCAGCAAAGTATCAGAGGTTTCCGGGCCCTCCCTGGTGACACAAGGGGTTAAAGCACAGCGCTATGAAGCTATCTGCAGCCACTGCAGCATGAGTTCCATTCCTGGCCAGGTAGGTGACCCACATATGCCGCAGATCTCTCCTGACCCACCCGCTGCTCCCGTTAGTAGTTTATTTCAGTCAATCTGCCTGTTCTGCTCCCTACCACACCTCTGGCCTATACCCCAGTTCTTGTATGCATAAATAAATAAATCTTTTTTTTTTTTAAGTATCAGAGGTTTTCCGTTTATTAACAGTTGGCATGGATGGTAGCAGAAAGATGTTGGAGAGGGTAAAAGCTTAGAAATTCAGCCTTTAACAAAGAAGTTAATGACAGAAAGGAAAGGAGGGAGGTAGAGAGGCAGTGAGTAAGGAAGGGATGTCAGAAGGGAAGGGAGAGAGAGAGAAAGACACGTACCTGGCTGAATTCTGTCCCACATGATCTGGACGTAGTCGTCCCGATCGGAACGTGACTGCTCATGCCAGAACCCCAGTGCGTGGAGGAACTCATGCTGAATTGTTGCTATTCTGTCACAGTTTTCCCCAATGGAGAGCTCTTGCCTCCCAACACGCCTGTTTCCTATTGAAGACCAGCAGCTGATAGGAGGGTTTGCAGGAGAAGGGAGAGTTGTGACAATGATGCAGATTGCGATCTCAGCGCAACGGCTCCAATGGCCAGTCCATTTAGCCCACCCCACCTAGATTCTCTGCTCTTATGTCTTAATACTATACATTTCTCCATGACCAGGACAGGTATGAAAAGACCAGATGGTCTTTGGAGAACTTGTCCTAATAACAAATATTACAAAGAATAAGTAACCCTCCCCCAGCCACCACCCCCCCTCCCCCCAACCCTCGACCTGAATTTTTTAGGCAACTTCAGAGTGTTTCAGATTCTCCTTGTTTTGTGGCTGGCCATCAACAAAAGTTTGATAGGTATAGCATCCACTGAGAATTGCTGAGTTTCAGGCAAATAACACTGTCACCTTCATAACTCAAGTAGTAAGAATGAGTAGAGGAAAATAATTTTAACTGCATACATGTGTTCTATGTAAACTATAACCAGCTGAAGTTCACAAAATAGGGATGGATGATGCAACCCCATCACCTTGTCTTAACAGCAGAAGCCTGCTTACCTGCAGAAAGTGTCATTTTTGTGACTAGTGAAAATATATCATCGTTTACTCTCTAGCAAATAGCAAAGGAAGCCCCCAACCTATCCTCAATGTCAAGCCCAGGGGCAATTTCTGTGGTATAATACCTCATCCACATCTGTTCTCATTAGAATTTCTAGAAGACAAATTCTTCCACTTACCCATTTCCCTTAAAAACTGATATATAATTAGGTTCTCCAGTCCAAGGCTTGAAGTCAATGCATGTTTTCAGGCGATAGCGTTCAAATGCATTGAGAATAACTCCCTTAGCATTCATTTCTAAAGAAACAAACAAAAGGAGACTTATTAAAATTATCACCATTGACCAAGTCACCATGGAAACAGGCCATGCAATATACTGGTTATCATGAATTAGTCCTATCATGAATGTTTAATTTTTATTTTTATAAAATTTAGTATTCAGGACCAATTAAGAAACATTCAACACGTGTGAGAATATTTAAAAGGCACAGTCCTCTGCCCAGATAAGACCTGCATTTGCTTTGTATCTTTGTTTACCAAGGACCTTAATCACTTTGCATCATAAATGCAAAAAAAAGCGCCACCCAGTATCTGTTGTCTAAATCCCTGGCTCCGAAGGATAAGGCCTGTCCTGGGCAAGCCTAAGAGTTAAGCAGGCAGCTCTTCAGGATTACTTTCCCCTTGCTCACCCCTCAGGTTCCTGGCACCTTGGCCTTCTTGTCCATCCACATCTTTTATGCCCATCCTTCATTTACATTGCCCCTCCACCCCAAATCTGGTGCACAGGCAAGGAAATGTAGTTACTGACTGGAAGCTGCTTCAAGGGTGACCCCGTAGGGGAGTTACAACTAATAGCAGATAACACCGGAAGTTTAAGCAAAATAGACTAAAACCCTACTCTTCCTAGATTGGCCCACTGGAATTTGAGCAATAATGATTTCTGGCTTTCCAGATATGACTTCCTGAAAACTCTTCATAGGGACTTACTTCTGCTACATGTAAGAGTGAGGTTTGCTTAGTGATTTCCTTAGCCTGAGTCACTTGAAGATGGAGTAACTTTCTGAAATGTAAGGAAATACCTTCTCATGTTGGACACAGATTTAGTCATGGCTACAATAGCAAATATTTCCTAAACAAGAAATCATAGATGGAAAGAATAACCTCTGTAAATTTGAAGTTTAATTTTATTATAAAAGCTATGTATGGGCCCTCCCTGGTGGCGCAGCAGGTTAAAGCACAACACTAAGAAGCTAAAGCCACTTCAGTATGAATTCAATCCCCGCCCGGAGGTGACCCACACACATGGTGCGGCAGACTTCTCCTGACCCGCCCACTGCTCCCCTCAGCAGTGTACTTTGAAGATCTGCCTGTTCTGCTCCCCACTCTGTCTCCGGTGAATTTTCTTACCGCCCCTGCCCCTCTGGCCTGTACCCCAGTTCTGTATGCACAAATAAATCTTTTTTTAAAAAGCTATGAAACATGAAAAATACAGTTAATGATAAATGAAAGAACAAAAAATGTTAAAAACTGTTATGAAAATGACATAAAAAAATGTGTACAATTTTGAATAGTAGTATCTGGGCCAACTTTTTTTACTTAATATATTTCATTATGTATATTGTAAAAATTTATTTTGAAAAATATTTGTTGACACTCCATATTATCAGATTATGCTGAGGCTCAGTTTTACAAACTGAAAATACAACTCCTCTCCTTAAGCCATCATTATGTTAGTTAGTAATGTTGTTTAAACATGGATACTTAAAGCTTGCAGGGTTAGGGATGCTTTGGTTAAAACACCAGGCAAAAAAACAGCCTGAGAGATAGTCAATTTAAAGCTCGCTGATGATGGAACACAGTAGTTAAGATAATAAATTTTTTAAATATACTATACATACATATACATATGCATATCATAAATACAATTTTAAACAAAAGTATTTACTGTTTTAATCAAAAGATCAAAAGGAAGTATTTAAATCAGAAGCAGTTGTAAAAGAGAATACATTTTCAATTATAAGATGAATAAAGTCTGAGAATTCAATGTAAATACAGTGACTACAGTTAATAATAACACTAAAGAATATAATTGAAATGTGTTATGAGATAGAATTTTAATGTTCTTTTCAAAAAAGAGAGAGAGAGAAATAATGTGAAGGCATGGATGTTAATCCACAGCAATCCTTCACAGCGAGTGTGTGTGTGTGTGTATCAAAAATATGTCATATACATTCAGGACATACATCTTCAATATCTTATAATTTCATGTATAATACCTTCATAAAGCTGAAATTTTAAAGATTTAATAAAATCTTTCAGATTTCCCCCAATTCCAAAATCCTTTTGCTCCTTGTATTGCATAATCACCTTGTAATGTCTTAACATGCTTATTACTCTGGCCTTGACTTTCTTGTCCTACTCTGTTTTTTCATCAATGTTTCTGGCCAAACCTCCCTTTTCAGTAACTTCTATCAGATCCTCCTCTATACTGACTCCAAAAAGTCACTTTTCTGGCTAAATTCCATTTCCACCATATTCTTCCTCATTCAGTCTTCCTGCGTCATTCAATAAGAACCATCGCCCAGGAAATATGTGTATAGCTCTGTGCAAGATGTTCACCCTCACCCGTGGCTTCAACCATCTTCCACTATAATAATTCCCGATTATTTCTCTAGCTTAAATGAGCAAGTCGTACGCCAACACTTGGATATCTCCACCACATTGAGCCTGAAGCACTTCAAATGCTGCATCACAAGAGCTAATTTTCACCCCTCCTCTCTAACTCAACCACTTCAAGAAATATTGCCTACTCTTGTAAAAGTCACTGCTATACACACATTTGCCTAAGACTGAATCCTGGGCGCCATCATCTTTTGACCTAGACTTCCTTCTTCTTAAGCTCATGAAGTGAACCATCAAATCTCACAAGTGTCTAACATACTCATGGATTTACCCATTCTTATCCATCATCACTGAGAGTCTTGGCTCAGAAACTTTTCAGACTCCCCTAAATGTCTGCAACCATCTCCTAGTTGATCTCCTTACTTTCTTTTTGTCCCATTAATAACACAATTTCTATAATGCAATCAGATTGATAATAAGCTCACTTTCACATGAAAATTTTTGGTGGCTCCATTTTGCATCAGTAAACACACCAAGTTCTTTAACTTGGGAAAAATCCAAGTCCTTCCCTGTCTGGATCCTGACTAACTATTCAACATCACTGTCTACCCTGTTCCAATCTAAATTTCAGCTGTGGGATTTTGCCCTTCTCCAAAACTTGGCAGACAGTAAACTACCTGCTTAAAGAACCCTTCTTCCATTGCTATCAGAAGCTGCACTAGCCCACATGGTATGGTGGGCTAATGTGAATTAGCAGAGGTATCATTTAGGCAGATGCTGTGAATGCCGGCCTGGTAGATGGATTAATGGTATTTCATGCAAAGAAGTACTGACAATTGGAATGCAAGCTTGATTTTCACCCCATTCATCAATCTGCCCAGACACCTAGGTAGAATGGACAGATTGTACAAACTTTGTGGCAGCTCTGTTGTGTACTGTCACCTGCTACCTAATACAGTCAGTTTCCTAAGCAGGTAGAGTTATGCTCTTCCTATGGAATTCACTAGCTCTTAGAACATTTCACTGATCATAAGGTTATGCCTTTCTATTCTACTATGCTTTTGGTTCATCTGAATTGCCACTGAAATATATGCTCTTTAAGGAAATATTTCTCAAATAGCAGTTACTAAACTGCTCTCATTTTCACAAGTCCATCAATAAAGTGAGGGCCATAATGGCGTTTTCCACTACAATTCAGTTTCTTCTATAGAGAGGATACCTGGTTCCTTCTTTGTTCTGTGTGTTTCTTTTTGAAATGCCAGAAATAAATTTCTCCTACAGAAAATTTGTCTTTAGTTTTGGATTAGAGTCTTCTGACTTTTTAGTATTAAAACATTACCTATTTTATGAAAAGGATAATAATAGTGGATGCTTGTTTAAGTTCTTAACTTGGCAAATAAAATGCTAGTGAACCAATGCCAGAACCTAAAATTTCATTGGTTGATTGTTTTGGGTTTTTCATTCATATGTATTCTACACATATGGGAAACCACAGCTTTAAAACAAAGACCTGCTCCCTAATCTTTCTCTTCCAAATATCCAACAAGGTAGGCTCTGCATAAGTGTTGGTTAAATGAATGCCTTTATTGGTTAAAAAAAAAAAAAAAAAAACTAAGCAAATATTTCAGAGGAAATCAGTTAGGGTCTTTTTTTCTGTTCATTTTACTTATTTTAAAGTGCATATGCATAGCCATACAAAGCAACAAACAAACAAAAACCATAATAGTCTCCCCTCAGAAATATTGAAACCGACTTATATTTAGAGTCCCCAATATATGTATACTGACCCAAGCTATCTTCCAGCACATATGGAATGGAATGAGGCCATCTATATTTTTCACCAATGATGGAATTTCTCTCTTGTGCCTGTCAAGAATAAACATGAAAAGGATAATTGAACGAAGGCAAAAAATTATGAAGCAATCATAGTTAATTTAGAAACAAGTGAAATTAGAAACTCTTTCAGCCCATCTAAACAAATTGCATGTGTGTGCACATGTGTGTGTGAACACAGAGTACCCCTACTTTCATCATACATACAAAATTTCTAGGTAGAGATCACTAATTTCTATCATTAATTTTGTTGACAAAGATGAAGAAGGAATCATGCAAAACCACATGAAGAATGATTATTGAAGGGATTCATTGACAACGAAATTGCCGAGGCCTTTATCTTCATGGAATAAATACCTAGTGGAGGAGACAAATATATAAGAAAATAAGTAAGTTTAACCAGGATAAATTTAATTGTGGAGGAAATGAAAGGGAGAAGTGTAGATATGAACAAAAGGATGAGAGAGAAACTTAGACAAGGGACTGTTTAAAAGAATGACACTAAGGATGAAATGTGAACAAGAGCCAGAATTGAAAGGCTACTAGGAAAGTTATTTCAGACAAAAATAAAAAAATATATTTGATTTTGTTCTGAGGTGAGAATAAGCTTGATATGTTTTGAGGCCAGTAGATGAATGAGTTAGGAGAGAAAAGAGATGAGGATGGAAGACAAAGAGGAGATGAGAGGAGGGTAAGGGAAGAGAGAAGAGGAGAGAGGATTTGGGGCCCTGAGAGATAGTGGGATTTAAAAAGCCCACGCTCTACAGTCATTCCCAAACACTATTTTAGCTTGCAGTGGTTAATAGAAGTTTCTTCCTTGCACTGTTTCAACTCACCTCATCGAGTTTGATGTCTCCCTCAAAAAGGTTTAGTCCCAAATCTAAGAGGGAAAATAGAAAATTCATGTGAACAATTTGGATTCACCGCTCCCCACCCACATACACTTAATATAGGAGGCAAAAAAAAATCCACAAACCTTCATTGATATCAAATATGTCCTGATCAGTCCCACCATCCACATCTTTGAGTAAAATAACAAAGAAAAACACACTGAACATTATATATACAAAATAAAGTCTTTGTTAATTGCAGAATTAGAAGTAAATTAGGTTCTTTTACCTCAGTTAAGTGATTTAAATATATGCAGATTGACTGATGGAGAATCTCTCATGAGCCATGTTTGGGCTGTAGAACTCTTGCCCATATATTCTGAACCTATCCATACCCCTTGAATGCCAAGTAAATTTGAAATAAGAAACTGGTTACTCTGTATAACATTAAGCTTAATTTGGAACACTAAACAAGATGAATATATTAAAAAGGAAGCAAGTGTCAAAATTCGGTCAAACCATCCCAAGCTACCCATATACATACATCTTCAGACAAAAATCTTTATTTAAATTTGAATTAGTCTTTTAAATTGCAAAAGAGTGAGTAAAATAGCCAAACCTCTAATCTAGCATCAGAGTAGTACAGAGTATAGGTTTATCAGATTTCACATGCAATAGCAAAAACAATCATAGCAAGCATTTATGGAGTCAGTATACATCAGTTACTGTGTTTGGCTTTTCCAGCAATTACTCTTCTGCTTGGTATGGTGAGCAGGAACAATAAAATGTTCCTCAATCAAAAGAAACCAGTGTTTGATCAAAGTTCAATGCAAGTATGTTTATGTAGTTATTAATTGTGCTCAACAATAAATGTGTCATAATTCTGCTATCTGCTGTTTATTCAGTTATTAGCTGTTCTGTTGCTCTATATAACTTTCTATTATTATTAGTTATAGCAAAATTCAAAATGGACTCACCAAAGTTTTCTGTAGTTGACTGAGAAACAAACATTAAAAAACATATATTAGTGATGCCCATGACATAAATGGTCTTCTTAGTTCCTATTTTTATCTAACCACTTTTGGGTTGTTGTAGTTTTTCATTAATATCATGAATTATACTCTCATATAAATTAAAGACAACTATCTTGGAATCAAAAGAAACTTTTGACCAAAGAGTCCTTGCACTGTTTGCATTTCACAGGAAAAAATGAAAGTGAGAGTTCACAGGAAAAAATGAAAGTGAGAAAAATAAGAAGCTAAGACCCTGGTTCTCAAGTCAGTATTCATTTGAAGCATGATTTCCTAAAGGACTCATGGAACAATTATTGAAAGACCTTATAATTTATTCCCAATGCTGAAATTGTATTGAAATTTATGACATTCTTTAAAAAGAAATTTATTCAAGATTTCATTAATCATGGTTTACTTCCAGATTTCTTTTAAGATTCTGCCTTCAGGGACTCCCCTGTTGGTACAAAGAATAAAGACAGAGCATAATGAAGCTATCTGCAGCATGAGTTCTATACCTGGCCAGGGAGCTGCCCACATGGCACAGCAGACCTCTCCTGCCTCCCCTCAGCAGTGTATTTCAGTCACTCTGTCTGTTCTGCTCCCCACTCTCTCTCTCTCTCTGGTGAATCCTCTCACAAACACCCCAGCCCCACATCTCTGGCTTACACCCCAGTTCTTGTATGCATAAATAAATAAATAAATCTTTAAAAAAAAGATTCTGTCTTCAAAGAAGAAAAAAAAATCAGTGTATGATTGGGGAAAAATTTTCTCACACAAAACTAGCGATAAAGGATTGATCACAAAAATATAGAGAGAACTGAGGGAACTCAACAAAAATAAAGTAAACAACCCTATCAAAAAATGGGCAGAAGAGTTAAAAAGACAATTCTCCAAAGAGGAAATGCAGATGGCCAACAAGCATATGAAAAAATGTTCAACATCACTTGTAATAAGGGAGATGCAAATTAAAACCACAATGAGATAC